CCCGCCACCCGCCAGTAAGAAACTCTAATAGCATACCTGCTCTTATTCTAAATGTAAATGAACGATGGAGAATTAATTACTGGAACGAAATATTCCCAAAGGGGGCATTTGTGTCGGGTTTCCAAGGGTGAAGGAGGTATCCTCTCTTCTGTGCTAACACCTCGTTTCAGTGTTCTACCTGTTTTTGACGAGTAACTCATCCGGTCCTGGCTTCAACATGGGCACCGTCACCAGCTCTGCAGCCTCTCTGTAATTTGTGGAAAGTTTGGATATTATAAGTTTCCGAAAGGTCTCGGGAAGGTGCCTGGCTGCCATGATGGATCGGGGAGGATGAAGATTTGGAAAAGGACTGGGTACGAGGCAAGGAATCTGGTAAACATGGTAAAATGTTTACTTGATTGTCCGAGATTGAAAAATTAAAATAGAAAAGAAGAGGGAAAAAAAATTAAGAAAATTCTACGTTACGATTTGAAAAAAAGAGTTCCCTCACTGCTATGTTTGAGTCGGAGGAGTCTGCATTGATTTCCTTCGATCGGGTAGAATAGTCTTAGTGTCCACTTCCGTCTATGAAATTAAAGTAACGCCTGGCAGATTTTGTAGTTTCGCATTCGCAGCACGAGTAAAATTAAAGACGACAATGAGCGGGCATGGCAAACGACTCATCTATTTTTGTGGCAGTATTCGTGGAGGGAGAGACGATGCGGCTCTATATAGGCGTATCATAGATCAACTGAAACAATACGGGGATGTTTTGACAGAACATATCGCAGATCCTAACGTGCTAGACAACGAGCAAGGTTTGCCGTGAGAAGCGATCGATAATTTAGTCTTACTATGAGAATTCGAAATTGAGTAGAGCAATGATCCTTGCTGGTGAACTGCAATTTAAGCAATTTCAGAAAAGAAGTCTGAAAAAACTTCAGGCTTCGACAGGATTCGAACCCCTACCTGAGTGGGTTAACAGCGGAGCTGAGCTACGGAGTCACACATTGGGTGCGGGGGCACGTCATATATAGAGAATTATTCTTTCCCGTGTTCTGAAAGCGTACAAGCACTAACATAAAATTTTCTAATTATGACATTTCTATTTTAAATTGTCCTGTCAGAGCTGGTTGTAATAAATGTATCTTGAAAAATGAAGTTTCTTTGGTCGCATGAAAAACAGCTGTTGAAAATGAAATGCCATTGCTTTTAGCCTTAACCTCAGTGAATAAGTTTAGGCCTTTCCGTTGAAATTTATAACACCTCAGGATGCGAAAATGTTCTCATTTAGCCACAGATAACCTCCTTTACCAACACTCAGTAGAATAATTAGAAAAGAAAAGGTTGCTTGTTATCAGTCAGTACCTGGCCAGTGCATTACTTGAGTAGTCATTCATTCATACTAAATAGATGTACATGTTTTAATGAATATCTTTAGGTAGTGACAAGTTTATTCATGACCGTGATATGGCCTGGCTGGAAAAGTCTGATGGTAAATTGCATGTAGTTTGACTCATGAGCTCTGATTACTAATTCTCCCTGCTGTCTACTATGGATTTCTTGCAATGTTAGCTCTGAGAGTTTGGTGTCAAATCAATTGATATGCCCTAGTTGATATTTTTCATCATGCATGAAAGTCTTATTGATTATATGGGGAAATCCCTCTTTGGTCATTCCTGGAACTGAAAGGGTTATTTAATTGTTCTCTTTCCTTTTGATTCACAAACACAGACAGTCATGGTATATATGTTACTCTTCAACAAACTCAGTGATAATCAATTTGTCTTTATGGCAATGAAAGTCAGTTTCTTTTTTTTCTTCAGCAATAGTTGCAGAAGTCACTCAGCCTTCCTTGGGAGTTGGATATGAAATAGGGAGGGCATTTGAGAAGAAAAAGAAGATTCTCTGTCTGTTTAGACCTGACAGTGGAAAACGTAAGTGTAGATGTCAACAAAACTCTTTCAATGAGCAATTCTTTCAATAAATATTGATCTATTGATTGAAGTCATTGATTCTACCAATTTTGTTGTCATATCTCAAAATGAATGCTAGAAAATAGTTGAGTGGTCTTTTCTTCCTACCCTGTATAGCCATCTTACCCCTACCCCCTGGCCAGCCCCACCCACCCCGACCCTGACCCACATTTACTCACTTTCCACCGCCTCTCTCCTTTTACCCTAGAAAAAACTGCTGTGAACTCACAGATTTTGTACCAATTCATTTGTTTCAAACTACTAGGTTTGTTATGCTGTCTAAGGAACTTTTTTCAAATACTCTAAAATCTGAAGATACAGCAGCACACAACTCAACAATTAAATAATTGTATTTACAAAACAATGAAGATGATATCTGACATGACAAACTCAAATTCAAGAGTTACAGCAACATGCAACTG